ATACGAAAGTGTTCCCGACACCAAAAGTATAGGATAATTTATGTGTACGAAATTCAACGTCCACATATCATTAGTTTGCCCTATTTTCTGATTGGTTGCTGAGTTTCATTCAGATTGGTTCGGAAATACAGCAGACCGAGGTTGACAAAGTTATTCACCTACGCTTCGGCCGGGTCCGCAAAATCGCCCGTAAACGGGGACCAAATTTTCGCCGCGCAGGAAAGCCCGATTGGCATTGCTATATTAAGGGTTAATTAAATAAAATAGGACTAAATAACCAATCTGAGAGAGAATCTGTCTTCACCTAAAAATAACCTACCACAGGACACAACAAAGTTCAGGGCATTCTCCGGTTTACGCCCCAAGAGAAGGCTACTGAAATATGTCGATACTTAAATACTCAGTGTACCCCAATGTTTTATTCCCAAAAGAGAGCAAAAAACATGCTGCTATTTTTTAACTACAACATGAGCGGTAATATTTCACTTGTTTTTAACAAGGGGTGCTTCGGGAAATAATAATAATTAATACGGGGGGTTTCAGGGGGGTATGCCCCCTGTTATGCCCTTTAGGCTATTTAACCATATTTGGCGTTTCACAATTTTAGCTTTGACATTTTCTCTCGCGCACAGTATTCAAACATCAAATTGGCACGAGCAGCGAGAAGTCATTTTGATGAAGCCAAAACCCATACATATTCCATATATAAGTTAATCGTTGGGGCCAAAACCGGATTCGGATTCCCCACGACAGAACTTCAGCTAGAAGTCCAGTTTTATCTTGACCTAGAAAACTAGATCTAGAATCTAAATTCAAGACTTTCTCTAATCTAGTCTTCACAGATTTCAAAAGATGACCTGGCCAGATTTGACTATGGTGGACCCACCGTGTTTATACGGGGTGCCCATTACAGTTGGCTCGGGCCGATCGCCCGACTCGGTTGTCTGAAACTGAAAACAAATACGTTTGTTTTAGAGGTGCCCGAGTCGGGTGATCTGCCTGATCCTCCGATCCCATATATAGTGGTTACCCCGTTATTAGGCTACATATGTCATGTATCAATGCGCACTTGCTGCTTGCATTATAACACATTTTAAAAACACAGTGTGTGTGAGAGTATGTGTGTGTGTGGGGGGGCTTGCCCCTCTGGCAACAAAAATAATTTAAAAAACCGGAAGGACTTCCGTAATGAGCGGCCACCCCAAAAAACCACAATAAATAAGAATAAGAGACCTAGCCCTAACCCCTACCCCAAACCTTAACCCTGGAAGCACGCAGGCCTTACATAAAGGGCATGAGCCGGGCTACCCGGGAAGCGCGCACGCCCTATATATAAGGCTGACCTACTTCAACCGGGAAGCGCGCAGGCCCTATATAAAAGGCATAGACACTGACCCTTTTCAATGGAAAATTCCAGTGTTCCTTATATGGAAAATGACGTAGTCAATTACAAGCCAAAGTTATAAATAGTGACCAATGACTTTGCAAGTTATCTTGACCTCGTAGAGCGTCTCTTGGCCGAGATATCGATCGATAAAGTGACGCGGTCCCGCTGAGCGACTACGCGCTGGTGTGTTATCACTTGTTTCGCCGTGCTGATGTACTAATAGTAATTGTTGAGTCTTTCGCGTTCTCGGCTTTGTTTGTATTTATTTGATCGCTGATCATTTTTGAATGGCTCATTCTATCAGCTTAAAGAAAATATATGCTTTTATATGCTTTTTATCATCTTTTGAGCCGTAAATGGTCATTTTTCAGTAGCAGGTATACATTTCGGGGTAAATTTTTACTTTCACTCCCGCACACAGATGCACTGTTTCAGGGGTCAAACTGCTGTACTGTTTGCTGCAGATCACACATAAAGCCACTAAAACTGTCGCAAATCAATTATTTTCAAGACAATTTCAAATCTAACTGTAAAATATCAAATTATGGGTGTAAAAACATCTGTAACCCCCCAGATTTTCTTTTACCCCAGTGGGGCAGGCCCCCTGGAACCCCCCGATTGGTCCAAAGCATGTCTATCTCGGTTAAAAACAATCAAATATTTCCAAAACTATTAATTTGCTACGGAAATGAAGTTAGCAATGACAATGAAAAATTAAACTTTCATCCAAATTGCTTAAAAATGGACTTAAATGAAAATAGAGTAAATTCTAAGAACTATGGTTTTTAAAAATTAAAAATCCATTGATAAATAAAAAAGTTATTGGGATTTTTGTTTGCAAAATGTTGGAGGACCTTCATAATAATATATAGGAAAAAATCGCCAAAATGTGGGACATGTTTTGATGTATTTTGAGGAAAAACTGTTCATACGTCAGTAATGAATTGGAGCATATGAATGAAACTTGGCATCTCCATGTGATTTTTAGTGCCGAATCTAGTTCTGCTATCACTTTTTCGATGTCTTCATCACTTTGGATCTTAAAGACTGATATTTGCGTGAAATTTGTTGAATTGCGTGACATCGTGTTTACCGCGACGCGATCACCCCTTCTAAAACTCAGTAAAGCGCTATCGGGAAAACCCGCGATGTAGTCATCGGTGACCCATTTGGTTATAGGCAGCCAATCACATGCCGCCTAGCGATCACGCGCCTCTTGCGTGCCGGCACCTCACGTTTGGAATGCGCTATCAAGTTTCTAGATCTAGGGTTTTATCAATGGATGGGTGGTAATTTTAAGTTGGTACGGAAAATCTACTAAACGCAGAGATCTGAAATTTTACAGCAATAAAGAAGACATGTGGGGCGCTTGTGTGGTCGGCGATCAACCCGCAGCTCTGCTTAGTTTTCGAACCGCAGAGGAAATTCGCACAAACACGGCAATATCTCCGGTTCTAGTAATCGTTCGGGATTGTACGCTGGCATGTCATTAGTTTCACCTTTCCTCTGGTTGGTTGCCGAGTTTCATTTATTTTCGTCCAGGAGTTTTCCCGTAACTAAACTTAGAAGAGAGTCACTTCTGATTCCGAGCGGCCCAAAAAATACCCCTCGCGCGGAGGCCGATTTCCGGCACAAGGCGCAGCGGGCGATTGGCATTGCTAATGAAGTTGATATTCCTGTTCAGCGCATCAATATTTAGTAGAAAATAGACAACTGGTAGCTGAGTGTGAGACGGGAGGGAAAGTAAAAAAATACCCATTTCGGGTATCTCAGCTGTTTCCCCCCCCCGCCAAACCCCCATGGGGCATTTTTGGTGGGTTACTTCCGGTGAAACGCTGAGCGCTTCTAGGGTTAACACTCAATTATCTAAAGTTAATGTTATAAAACAAGAAGTCTATTTCATAGTGGTCGCTCGTTATGGAATTCCTCCCAAAAAACAACACAGAATCTAGATCTAATCTAGATCTAGATCTAGAGTCTAGATTCTAAATGCAAAACAATATAAAAGAGCGGATCATTGTATGGCATTGCATAGGGAGGCTCGAAAGTCAAAAGTAGTTCGGGCTTCATACTTCATTCAGGCTTCAGCGTTGGGTCCACCACCGTCCACCAAAGTTATCTTACCGAACTGTGCCGAACAGACGACATTCATCATTAGAATTAGATTGAAGATTTACACCCACAACTTCAAACTGCAGGAAAAAAAACATGCCTCTAATATATAACTGAGGAAGCTCGTACAGACTGCGGCAAAAACTTACTAGACCTACACTTACCTTTACCTGCTTGACACGCCTTTTGCTGTTGCGTTTCTCTTGTTCCTCAAAATTAAAGCTTGGAGGCTGCACTGGCGATCGAAAACCAAAAGCAAATACCATTATTGCGCAGAAAAGAACGCCGATTACGGGCATTGCAACATGAGGGGACATCAGCTCTATGAGCTCCATGGTTCAAATGATGTAGAAACTCAACCTGGTCAGAATAACTAAATAAAATATGGGTTCCTCTTATCAGACGTTGGTTCTACCCCACCATTGAGGGATCTGATGCTGACGTCGCTTGTGTTCTACGTCACAGTTGTGGCCCCGATTGACAGAAACTTTTTTATGTGATAATTATTTATTTTTAAGTATCTTATGGAGTTCATGGTACATTTTTACAATTTTAACAGCAATCTTTGTATATTAATCATATAAATTTAGTGCAACATTAGTTTGTTGTTTTTTGTGCATGACGTAGTACACATGTTTACAATGGCGTCCATTCGTGATGAGTGACCCTATGCATTGAGCTGAATCACTGTGTTCATCTTGGTTAGGAATTCAAGTCCATTTTCATCAAAACCCGTTTGGAGCAGCCATATGGTATGCTACTATGATAGCTGATATGTATTATGCTCTTGTCTGTCCTTCATTCCCAAGTTTGTGAGTGTGATTCTAGATCTAAAAGAATCATTCTGTCTTACTCTTAGGTCTTAGGCTTAGGGCTTAGATTTACACTGCGGACCCCCCTGGCCTAAATCCTGGACTACAGATTACGTACTCGCTTGTCAAGGGGAGAACACCCTTGCCCTGAAACCCCCCTTATGACTAGATTCTAGATCTAGATTTAGATCTAAATATTTACACCTATTCTCACCGGGTGAGAATAGTACAGGCGAGCCTTCAGGCAGGCTATTCTCACCCGGTTAGTATTCTAGATCTAGTAATCTAGTGTGCATACCTGCCAACCCTACAGAAAAAATCTGTAGATCACCGACTTTTGGGTCAAACTACAGATCCACCGATTTTGAGATGAAGCCACAGACTTCGGGATTCAGCAGGGTGACTGCCAGGCCCTGGGAATTTTAATTTGAGAAAGTTATCAAATACGAAGTGACTATTTCTTAATTTCTCCGAACGTTCGGAGAAATAGTGCCGATCTTTATTTCTCCGAACGGTTTCCGGCTTCCGCTCTGGTCGTGATTGTTTGCCTATTTGCGAGAGTTCGGCGCCAACTTTCATTCCGTCATTCTGCGAGGTCTGGGAAGGAGCAAATCAAAGGTTGTATCTGTTCTTAGCTTCTCCTCCGGCCGTGTGCCC